AGGCCTTCAAAGGTGTTTATAAAAACAAGGATGCTGGTCCAGATGGATTCACTTCGAATTTTTACATAACATGCTGAAGCATAATCAAATCTGAGGTAGTGCAAGCTATCCAAAGTTTTTTCTTGATGATAATCCAGGTAAATTTTTTGCTTTCTCCACAATTGTGTTAATCCCTAAAGGTAGTGACAAATCTAGTTGTGATCAATTCAGACCTATCTGCTTAACATCTATAATATCTAAAGTGATTAGCAAGCTTGTTGTTGCTAGGTTGCAGCCTCATCTAGCTACTATCATCTCCCCCCAACCATCTGCATTTGTTATTGGTAGGGATATCATTTACAATATTTTATTGGCTCAATAATTTGTTAAAGATCTGGACAAGAAATGTAGAGGGGGCAATATGGTGCTCAATTTAGACATAAAGAAAGCTTATGATATTATTGATCGGAATTTCATATTGAAAATCCTCCAAAGTAGAGGATTCCTCAGGGAGTTTTGTTTGTTGATCGAGAGGTGCTTGGAGTGCAATTATTAAAGAAAGCTTATGATACTACTCATGTTTTTTTCTGCTAAAAGGGTCATCAAACAGGGGACACTTTTTCCCCTACTATATTTATTATAGAATTTCATTATTTCTCTTGATTAATTAATAAATTCCAGGAGGGACTTTCCTATGCTCAATATTCTCATAAATCCAAATTTTGGTGAGCCATTTGGCTTATGCTGATGATGTTATCATCTTTATAAATGCTAGTAGGGCTTCAATACGACTTCTTGGTGTTGCTTAGGACAAATTCACTATTGTAACAGGTTTGGCCTTCAAAAATTCTAAATGTTTTTTTCTACACGAGAAAGTTGGTGAGGAGGGAACTTTTGGTTGTCACAAGGCCAACCTTCCTTTATGATATCTTGGAGTGGATATTATTAGGGGATGGAGAAGGCAAACCCAAAATGATGGTTTTATGGAGAAAATAAAAGGGAAATTTGATGATTGGAAAAAAAAATTTCCTATCAAATGGTGGTAAAATTACTTTGCATAAAATTGTTCATTGCAGCATTCCACTAGATGCTCTTCATGTTCTGAATATGAAAAAAAAGCACTTTAAAAATAGTGGGATGTTTTAATAAGTTCTTATGGGCTGGTGGATCCTCTAAAAAGATTTGGATATTTTGAAAACAGTGGAAAGATGTTTTAATAAGTTCTTATGGGCTGATGGATCCTCTAAAAAGATCTGGATGTTTTGGAAATCGGTATGTAGCCTTTTGCTTTAGGTGGGCTTAGGCTTAAAGATCTAGATCATGTTGATGAAATTAATATGAAAAAATTATGGGTTAATTTTAGGAAAAAGGAATCTCTTTTGGCTAACTCTATGCATCCAAAATATTATTGCTCTTACTACCCATATTGGGTCGAGTGGAAAGTGAGAGACTCTAAAATTTGGAAGGCAATGGTTAAAGTTAGATCAATGCCTAAAATTTCATTTTTTGGGATATAGACAAGGGGGATATTTTATTTTGACATGATTTATGGTTCAAAACTGTTGAATGCAATCCATATGTTCATACTTCATTGGTTTCTAAATTTTGGACTTATGGTATCTGGAACTTACCCCTTCTTAGGGAGTCTGTGGGTTTTGCGGTTGAATCACTTTCTAGAAACCCTATATCAACCTCTAAAAAAGATGAGCCTCGCTTTCAATGTACGGGTCAAGCTTCTGTTGGCAAATCCATCCACCTTAACCTTCATACATTCAGGGAATGGTTGTGGGGCAAGTCTATCTGGTGTAGGGAGTTATCTCCCTTTGTCTTTTTTTTTAAGAAACATTTACATAGTTCTATACCTTATGATGATAATTTAAAAATGGTATCTCAATGTTATTTGTGCAAAAATGAAGAGGAATCTTTATTTTTTCCCTGTAGTTTTGCTAAAGAAGTTTGGGTTGAGCTTGGGTAGCTGTGGGGGGGGGCTGGTTTATTCATGGTTGGAGTGGATTGGAGGTATGCCTTCATTTTTGGGAAGATAAAAGAGGAAAGAATATTTCTTTTTCCTTTGTTCCTTTCATTGTGCTCTGGTTTATATGATTGGCTAGAAACTCTGCTAAATTTGATTCCTTGTTACCCTATGTTAAACATACAATTACTAATATAATGGCTTATATTAGTTAAGTCTACAGAAATAAATCCATCTCCTCCTTTTAAACTAATTGTAATGTTGTTAGGAAACCAATCATATTCAGATGGTTGCCTCCACTCTATGGCTGGCTGAAAACAAATACAGATGGTAGCTTTAGAAATGGTGAGGTTGTTGTTGGTTGCTTATTTAGAGATCATGGGTGCTCATGTGTGGGCTTCTTCTCTTCCCCTTGCTGTGCAAAAAGTTCCTTCGAAGCAAAATTATGAGTTGTTTTCTCAGCATCAACAATTGTTGTTGGTCATAACTAGTTATTTATTATATGTGAATCTGATTCTAAAATGCTGGTGGATATTTTCCTTAGAAAAGTTAAGCCAGAGTGGGGAGTACCCAACATTCCGAATAGGACTTGGTTTCTTATTTCCTCTAAAAACCACACAGTTTAATGGAGTTTTACATATAGAGAGGGCAATAGACCTACTGATTGCCTTGCTAAAATTAGTCATTTGGGGGCGAAGGTTGTGGTACATCCTAATGCAAGACTTAAAGCTCTATTAGTATGTGATCTTTTGGAGATTCCTTTTGTCAGAAGTTAAATATTCTCTTGTTGTTTCTTTTCTAGATAGGGAATTATGCAATCTGATATATCTTTATCTGCTATATACCCTTTTCTAGATAGGGAATTATGCAATCTGATATATCTGCTATATACCTGCCTACTTGCCTATTTCTTTGTGGTTTGGGTGTACAAGTCTCTTGTTGGTTGTTTTCTGCTCACTAGCCTTGGGTTGCTGCTATGAAAGTTGGCATGCATTCATGATAGTTGTGGGAATCTTATAACCTGCAATCTATTCCATATACTGCGATGGCGCTACCTTTTTCTGGGGTTTGCCTTTGCTTGCAAGAGATTTTGTTTGGTGTTAGTACCCCCTACCCTTGGGTGTTTGTGGTGTTCACTCTGATTTAAGGTTCTTTCTAGTTCTTAATCCCCTGGTTGTTCGATTTAGGTTTTCTTTATGAACTTGGGATGATGTCTCTACTGGTATTTGTGTTGGGGATTTCCTTTTATTAGTTATATCTGATTTTCTTGGTTGGATGGGGGTCGGTTTTCCTACTTTCAAGATATTTATAGGAGTTGTTTTGAGTGCCACTGGGCTTCTTTCTTGGGCATGCTCTGATCTCAATTTTTCCTGTTGTCCTAGGAAGCCCCATCGGTTTGTTGCTGATGATTTATTTTACTTTATGGTTGCCTCTAATTGATAGTGTTTGGAACATTTTATTGTAGGATAGGGACTCTGCTGGGTTGTTTGGACCTGTTGCATTGCACTGTTTCTATTGTTTGTGGATTGGATTCAGGTGAATTTCTCTTCCTATTGTTGCATAAGGCTTTGTGAGCCCTTTATGCATGTTTTGGATTCAGGCCTACTGTTGTTGACTGAACTTGTTGCTGCTTAGGCAATGGTTTAGAGTACATTTTGGAGTCTTCAAATTTGTCTACTTTGTGCTTCTTCTGCTATCTGTTGGAATTTCTGTTTTACAGGCAAAGATCTAAGAGTATACATTTCAGAGTATTTCTTATTTTGGTTTTGGGATTTACTTGTAAGTTTTTTGGAAACTTTTTTGTGTGTTGTATTGCTAGAGGTGGAACCCCTATGAATGTTTATTGTATCTTTTTTGGGGTTTAGTAGTGGGGAACCACCACTACACCCTCTTGCTAACTTCTTTTTTGATGAAATAGAATTAGCTCCTAGTTTCTTTCAAAAAATAAGAAGAAGAATTGTGTCGCAATATATAAATCCCCAATTTATTTAAGGGAAAAATCTCATCAAAATTAAAAGGGTTCATAAAACTCTCTTGGATTCTTGATCTCTGCAATAACAATTGTGAATAAAAAAAATTGCATTAAGTACAATGCTCTCAAGGTTTCAAACATCCAAATGAACTAACCATTATTATATCATACATTGTATTTATAAACCCTCTCAAACTCATCTCTTGCAAATGAGAGAAAAGAACCTTATATTTTTTTATTAGTTTGAGGTTAGTTATAAATGTTAAGACTTAGTCAAGCAAACGAGATACATTACATTATGCAATTATGTAATTTGAAACCACATTCAATAAAAAGAAACGCACCATCAACAAATTGAATATATGCCACGTATTGGTTAAGGAGAGCACCACCAACTAGATCATGAATCTCAATAGACTACTTACCATTTGTTTTGCTCCGCTTATGAACGATTCAAGGCAATTTACAACGATTCTCATTTGGAGATGTGTTCAGACATTCAATTCAAGCAAAGCAAGGCTTGATGATTTTGACATAAACTCGACCGAGCATCCAAAACCCACCCTCTTCGATAGTTGTTTTCCCTCTTCGATAGTTGTTTTGTAGGTGTTAATCGTCAAACATCATAGCTATGCTGTCGTCAATTTGTAGATGTTACACTTTGCGCCAAATGAACCAGTCCAAAAGTACTTGAGATAATCACTCATCAATAGGGATATTTCATTTGTTTTTTTTTTTACTTTAGTTTTTAAGTATAATGTATTTTTCACATTTTTTATTTTTACATCAAAAAATAAGTTAACATATTGAAAAAAGCCTCGATATAAATTTTAATTATTTTTAATTTTTTAAAAAATAAATACTATCGTCATTAGCTGCCATTGATTACTGCAAGCTGTCGATATAAACAAAATAAAATTTATTTATTTTCAAAATGACAAACATGTTTAATTTCAAATCATATAATAATAATAATAATAATAATAATAAAAGTAATCTCAAATGACCCAAGTTAAAAACATGATAATAATAATAATAATAATAATAATAATAACTATAATAATAAAAGTGATCTCAAATGACCCAAGTTAAAAACATGGCACAATTAAAACAAGGGAATGCAACAAAGCATGATATATATGCTCAAATAAATTAATTTACATTTCTGGAAACTAAAATATAAGTCAATCACTTCATATGAAGATTGCCTAAAAACATACCAGCACAGCAATCAGACAGTAGCTGAAACTTCAGTAACAGATGCTTCTCTCTTAGACTGTTCCTGAACTTTCTGTAGCACTGCTTTATTGGGCGTTAGAACCAAATATATGTTCCTCTCGCTGAAACTTTTGCTCTCCTCAGTCGCAAGCTGGAAGTAAATAAAAGGAAGATTAACATACCACTTCATTCCTATGTATTTACATACATAACTTAAACTTCAATTTCTACATAAATGCCATCCTACCTATATGCATGAAAAAGCATATTTCACTTTTTAAAAGTTAAAATAGTGGAATTTTTGATGTGATATAGGTAGTATAAATATAGAAAGTAAAATTTAGGTTTTAACTCTATTTAAAAAGATGTTTTTGGGGCGCACCCGGGGCACGCCTTGGGCGAGGCATAAGGCCCTTTGCCCCAAGCCCGTGAGAGGGGCGCAAATCTCACGGGGCTTACGACTGAGAAAATCCGGAGCTCAATTTGCACCTCAAGAGGCATACGCCCCACCTATTAAGCGAATAAAAAGAGAAAAAATCCCTAATTCTACATAACTATCTGATTCACACCGATTCAAGCTTCTCCCGCGCAGTCGATCTCCTACAGCCCTCTGCTTCCTCCATCGCACATAGAGTCACCGAAGATCTCATCGCCGTCTGCTTTATCCCTCGCACACAAATAATGTCGAAGAAGGCAATCCCGACATCTGCTTAATCCCGCACGCAGGTGATCACCCCATCAGCTTTCTCTCTAGTAGGAAAGTAGAAGATCACACTCACAGTGTCTCCTCTCCCTCTCCCGTACCAGCATTGTCTCCTTCTTCCCCACACCCGCATTGTTTCTCCCGCAGCAGCGCAACTCGGTAAGGATTTTTTATTGTTATTCAAATTTTAATGTTTTATGAGTCTTTAATGGATTATTTCACTGTAGTTATAGTGAGTTTATTGTAGCTACCGTAATTTCACTGTAGCTGCTACAGTGAACGACAAATTTGTTTTTTTTTTCTCTTTTATATTAAAAATTTACTAGAGATCACTCTAGCTTAGGGCTGTCAAAAAAGCTCGTTGTTCGCGAACAGTTCGTGTTCGGTTCGTCAATGAGTTCGTGTTCGATTCGTTCGATAAGTAAACGAGACAAACGCGAACAAATTTTTTTCATTTGGTTAGTTAAACAAACCAAACACGAACAATGATGTGTTCATTATATATAAAAAATTTATTATATTTTAAAACATTAAATTTTATAAATTATAATATATAATAAAATAATAATAATAATATATTAATATACTATAGTAGTAATATACTAATATAGATATTGTATATTTATATAATATAAGTTATATAATTAATATATAATATTATTTTTATATATTAATATTAGGGATGTCAAACTGGCTCGTCGTTCGCGAACAGCTCGTGTTCGGTTCGTGTTCGGCTCGTTCGTTAAGAAACGAACACGAGTTTATTTCAAACAAACTAAATTTTAAATGAACCGAACACAAACACAAGCTTTGTTCGTTTGTGTTCGGTTCGTTTACACCCCTACTCTAGCTATAGTAAACTGTAACTTTTTTTTTCGTGTTTGCAATTTGCTAAAGGTGAATTTGATCTATTTTTTTTTTAATGTGTAAGGTTAGTTATTAACTTGTAATGGAAGTGGAGGGTTGTGTGGCCTATAGTAATTGCATTCTCAAGGACTTTAAATGGCAATATGCAACAAGCATACCCCAAGAAGGAATTTGTATGTTTACTTATTTATGTATGTTTCTATTTTTTATGGTGGATTTTCACTGATATATTGAAGTTTCTAATCCTCTAAGACTTGAATTGAAATTTAACGAGTATGAGTTATTTTAATACATAGGAATAATTTTTTTTATTATGCACAAAAAGTTTTTTTTTTCCCTTAATATTCATATTCATTTTTTTTATAGGAAGTTTATGCCCGATGCCATGGGCTTACGCCCCACCCATAACAGCTAAGGATCTGTTTGGGGCAGCTGCAGCTTATTAAATAAGCTAATGATAAGCAGCTGATTCAGATAAATTTTTAATCAACAGCTAATCCAGATAAGCTTGTTGGTTGTTTGGTTTGAACTGTTGGAAAACAGCTGATTTACAATTATTTTTGAATAAATGATTATTCTGCCTCTATGCAGTAACGTTGCTTGCAACAGAACTGTCGTAGTAATACAATTGATGCTTGAGAAGCAAAAAATCACTTCATAACTGTAGGAAAAATAAGATACACACCTCACATAACAGTGAGTATCAAGTGTGTTAAAGAAAAAAAAAGTATTAAAATTATAATTAAAAATATGATAATATTAATTTTAAAATCAAGGCGACAAATGTCAGAAGGTACGTCGTCTTCTACGGATATCATATAACCGCGATCACTATCGGCAATGGAATCTGTCAGACTGTCACCCATCGGAAGAAGTCACACTTTTTCGAACTGTCTGCCCACTGCGGGCACCTGTAAAACTTTCTCTCATAACTATGTGCCCGAAGTCGCATCAGTAAAAAAGTATGTAGTTTGTAGTGGCAGAGCACTCGTAGAGAGGTCTTTGAAATCCTAGAGCTCATATTTCTTGAATGATTAAAAATATAATCCATTAGTTATAACATAAGTTGAAATTGCTAAAAAAGTAATGAATTACAGTTTTTTACATGTGTGAGGTCTTAGAGAACTCAGTATACCAACTTACGAATTTGTCACTACAAAAAGACAGTAGACACTGTAAAGAAACGAGCACATGTTAAAATCACATACAGCTATCACATGTATGTGATCCACACAGTTCAATGTATTCGTCACTTTCAGCATTGGATACTCGCGCGTCCACGTGGGTTCCATCAATCGCCAATACAGCCCTGTTAGATCAGTTAAAGTCGTGATTGACACGTAACTCATTTTGTCGTATGAATGTAATGTGTTAAAAAGAATTACCTTAAAAAATGACATATAACGCGGGTCATTTATAATTTTTGCTGGAGTGGTCTCGAATGTTGAATCCTCTAGCTCAATTATCTTTGTTGACAAACTGACAAGAGCTTTCAAACCCATTGAGAAATACCTGCTAATTATCTCCGATGAATGCAGGAATCACTTCATCGTTTCTCTCATTGATATGATAAAATGTAGAGAGTTATTGTTAAGACCTCTCTTGTTGTCATTCTTGAGGAACTGTGAAGTCCATAATAACGAACATATCCAAAAAAATGGGTTTTGTCATACGGAATATGTTACTGAACCTTATAGGGTGTCTTTATAGTAACTCACCAACCCATTTATCACTAATATAAGTCGATGTCATGTAGGAGTTCGATCAACTTAGGTGTTTTAGTATTCGTACAACAAAACCACAACCCCTGTGATTTTTCTTATAAGGCTCAGTCCATGTGAGTTCATCCTATAGAAGTGTTTTGTTAATGTAATAAGTGCGAATTAGACAACGTTAACAATAACAACTAAAAAGTGCAAACGTATTCTAATGAGCAGCAATAATTACATAGCAGCATATTGATAGTTCGTACTATAAAGGAAAACATCTAAATGAAATAACCAATGAAAGGAACAGAAAAAAAAAACCAAACCAACTAAACAATAACTCCACAAAAGCAAGCTTGACTCCCTTCCGTGATGCACAGGTTATTAGCAAATGACATTGAGAATGCTCTGGCTTGCTCCAAAAAATTCATTCCTATGACAACTTTGTAATCATCCAAAGGAATGACAGAGAAGTCTAGAGTACCTAATCATGCCACAACGCTGGTTTTGACTCCCTTTGTCATTCCATCGATTGACATCTCTGCTGAGTTGACGACTTTAATGAAGCCCCCTATTTTAGTCATCTGCAACCCCAACCTTTTTGCTTCCTCGCTGGATATGAAGTTGTGGGAAGCACCTGTATCCATCATTGCCCTGGTGACCCTCCCTCCTATTTCCATTTCCACAAAGAGTAACCCCTTCCCTTGGGATTTTGTCGGAGCTTACATCCCGGTCGGAGCTTACATCCCGTACATCCCGTTCAACAGTTGAAGAGATCCCACATGTACCTCCCTGTCATTTTCCCTATCACTTTCTTCTTCCTCCTTATGGCTTGCAAGGAGAGAGTTGAGGGACTTCTTCTGAGGGCAATCCCTTTCCCAATGAGATTCTTCACAATAAAAGCAGAAATTTTGATATGGCTTGTTGTTAGCCTTCCCCTGTCCCTTACCTTTGTTGGGGTTGATTTGCTACGTTTCTCCTCCTTATGTTTGCCCTTGTCATCCCCACCTTTTATATCACAACTCTTCTTATCTTCAAGCTTTCTAGACTCTTTTGAATAATCATTCAAGAGCAGTGGCAAGATCTTGCACTCCTCAACTCCTAAGCTCAGTCTTTACCCAATATTGGAGCCCATCCATAAAGTTGAAGAGAGCATCCTTATTTGACAAATATGAGATTTCAAGAACCAAGTTTGTAAACTCCTTGATGTACTTTCGAATCAAACCCTCTTGCTTAAGTCTTCATAGCTGGGCTCGAGCCTCATCCTTGGCATTCTCAGGATAGAACTGTCTCTTTAGCTCTCTCTTGAAGTCATTGAAAGTGGACATGGAGCACAAACATTTCTCTACATCTCATTTTCTTCTCCACCAAAGCATAGTGATGTTCGAGAGATAAAGAGAGACAAATTGTATTTTTGCATCTTTATCCGCAATCCTCATTGCTCCAAAGTATTGCTCTAGTCCCCGCAGGAAGTTGTCTACTTCCTTCACTTTGCGAACCCCTCCAAAGCTCATAGGTTTTGGAACTTCAATCCTCTTGGCTTTGAAAGTGGGATGACTTGTGGATTTCTTAGTGCCCTCTTGCACAGCGAAATATCTCCACGCATCTCTTTCAAGCTAGCACCATGTCGCTCATCTCCTTCTCCGTCGCTCATCTTCTCCTCATTAGGCTCTTCGTACCTCTTGGAGCTTCCCAACAAATCCTCCTGCAACTTAGTCATATGGCCCATTAAGGTCTCCTTAAGTTGAAGCATCATACCTATGATTGTTGAATGGATGGTGACGTCCTCCTTCTCGAGTCCATCAACCCTTTGACAAAAATCCTCTACTTGGTTCTCCATCTCATCCATTGCCTCCTCTATCCGAGCAAGGCGCGAATCAAAGTCATGCATAATCTCCTTGGACCTCGCATGTGGCTTGGGTGCATCGGAATCTCTTTGCTCCTGGCGACCTCGCCCTTGAGATGACTCCACATTAGTGGCTTCGGACTCTAGCACGTGCTATTTGATGTTTTTTGCCATTCCTTTGAATCTGGCTCTGATACCAACTGTCACGGACTAACTTTTCCTAAGTCACCCGTGCGGCTTTAGCACTCTCCATTAATACTAAATCAGCCTAATTCTCGCAACGCTTGGACTTGTGAGCACCAAACACTCTTAAGAAGAAGAATAAAAAAAAAGGAACACTTCACACTTGAACACTTGAAATCTTTGATTGAATGCTTGGGTGATTACAAATTAGGGGAGGGACATCTATTTATAGTCCCCCTCCAAGCCATAAGAATATTATATATCTTCCTACTTTCTAGAGTATTCCATACAATTCTTACATAAATACATAATCCTTGATATTTCAAGATTCTTTTGGAACTCTCCATGCTCGAACTCTCGATATTTCAAGATTCTTTTGGAACTCTCCATGCTCCATCCTTGAGTTCTTCATGGAGTATTCACTTCCTTTGAAGTTTCTAGAGTTGTAGAAGTTTCTAGAGTTGTGTGGAACTCTCTTCCACCTTCTTGGCTCTAGAAGGTTCTTGTCATGCATGCCTCTTCTAGAATTTTCCTTCCCATGCTTGTCTTGGCATTTCCTTGAAGATGGTGGGACGTGACACACAGCTACTAACACAGCCTCCAGATCCATCAACACACACACACTCACATCCACCACCAACCCACAAACCCAAGCAAAACACAACAAGCCTCCACATGCCACCAACAAATGCATCACCCACACCCACCAACACAGCCTCCACAACCACTAACAGGCACATCACCCACAACCACCAACACAGCCTCCACATGGCACCAGTAAGCACAACACTCACAGCCACCAACACATCCTCCACAACCATCACAACACACACACACATCCACCACCAACCCACAGAATCAAGTTCAACACAACACACACCCAAATCCACCAACAAGGGCATCACTTACAGCCTCCAACACAATCTCTAGCCAAAGAAACCATAGCAACGGAGCAAACCTAAACAGTCATTCAAAAAGAAGAATCGTGCATAGACTCATGCGCCCAATTTACTTCAAATATTATCCAAAAAACGTAAAATATCCCATAAAAATCCACAAAATTGGATAACTACAGAAAGATAATGATCGCAATGAAAAAACCCAACAAAATGCATATAGAGAAACAATGCATTAGAGAGGACCCAACCAGAAAACTGAGTCAGCTCACTGAAAAGCAATCAAGAAAACAAATACGCATTAGAGAGGTCCAGATGACCGACTTCCGTTGTAGGAAAGTCATGAAAAAAAGAAATGATAGAGGACGATACCAGCGGGACATGGGACGCCGTGAATGAAGGTGTGGGAAGCCGACCAGGGATCTCGGAAAAGAGAGAAAGAAGAAAGTGGGGATCTTTCGACAAGAGAAACCGAGGCAATGGCGAGGGAGAAGTGACCTAAAGCAACAGCGGTCGAGCGAGGGAGGAGACGGACTGAAGGGCATAAGAGAAAACAAGATTGAAGACGCGAATTAAAGACACAAGCCGCAAAGTCGATCCCACGGTCGCGTTTATTAAAGAAACCCATCCGGCATTTTAGGATACGCAGGTAAAATACAATAAACAAATGAATGAAATGTGTTTCCAAAACTCAAATGCAGCGAATAAGTTGTTTCAAACACACCCTAAAATAACACGCCCAATGCCCACGTCTTCTAAAATATTGGGTTTTAAATACGTAAATGCATAGGAATTGGGTGGCATGCATGTAAATACCCCAAAATTATAAAATGTATAGATGATTCATCATATGCCTGGAATAGAATATGTTGCCAAGAAGACAAGCAAGGAAATTAATTGATGAACAACTCAGAAAAAAGAAGAGGACCAAAGATAAGGCTTAACTGATACACATTATATATATATATATGGCGTTCATGCTCTACTAGGGTTTTGCCATGGTGATCCCTGGTTATAACTCCACTGCATCTCTTCGTCGATCAAGCTCTGATCATCGTTCGTCGATTTCGACATTTCCGTCTGATTCATCGTTGTCGCCACTGTTGACGTGTGTTGTCTGTTGCTCGTGCTTCGTCGCTCATGCGTCGTTTGATGCGTCGGGCTCAGTCGTTTATTGGTGGTTGCGCCTTCCAGCTAGGCTTCTGCACACCGCTTTTTTTCCTTCGCAATCCGAAACCGCCCTCTGTTCAAGCAGGTCGGTCCTTGGGCTCGAGCTGAAATCGCAGGGGCTTCGGGTTTCCGCTCTTGCTAACTGTTCTGCATTCGAAGTTCGCCCTCTGCTTTGCTTTCTTCACTGTTCTTAACGCTGCACCTCCATCTATTGGGGATGGCTTCAGACATATCGTATGTTGTTGCCCTTGCGGATGTCCACGCCTCAGGTACACCTATATCATGTTCTTTCCCTCCATGTTTGAGTGGGTGGAGGACATCAAGAAAACTGGTAAAAAGAATGGGAAGTCTGTCATCTTTTTTACTGAAGCTGAAGATATTCAACTTGCTTCCTCCTGTCGACTGAATTTGGTTGAAAAATTTTTAAATGGTCATCCCAAAAAGGAGCTCATTCGTAAGGAATTTGAGCTTATGCACCTTGTTGGAGAGTGGAAGATTGGATTGTTCGATGGAAAACACATTCTTATACAACTAAATAATGAAGAGGATTGCACGCGCTTATTTGCTAGAAGGATAATCTAAATTGATAACAGAACAATGAAGATTCTGAAATGGTCTGTGGATTTTGACCCACAGACGGAACCACCAATCATTCCGGTTTGAATTCGTCTCTCTGGTCTAAAATTTCATTATTTTACTAAAAAAGTGTTGTACTCTATTGTCTCAGATTATGATAAGCCACTCAAAACGGCCATTATTACTTTTAATCTTTTCGTCCATCTGAAGCCAGAGTACTTGTTGAAAGAGGCATCACTTCATCTGCTTCTGAGAAAATTTGGTTGGGCACACAGCACCAAAGATATTGGCAAAAGGTAGTGATTGAGCATTTTTCTTCGTATTGTTCGAACTGTCGTATGTTAGGCCACTTCAGTTCTCAATGTCACCATCTACACCCCCACCTCAAATTAAAAAAGCATAGTGCTCCACCAGAGGCAGCGATTTCATCTTCTCCTGATCAACTCCAAATTATTGACACTATTGATCATCAAAAGGATACCCCAGAAGACGTCGCTATTCTCGCAGGCAATATGACAACCATTCAATCCACACATAATATTGTAGCTCCCCCGTCTTTGGAACCTCCTATCATGAGGTAGAGGGAGATCCTTCAGACCCCATCTGCCCTAAAACCTATCATCATTATTACAGGTGGTAATACTTCTACAGCTTCATTACCTCTATAGCTTCATTACCGTCTCATCAAGTCGAGCAAGCTGTTAATGTTACTCAGGCTTATGGGGATCATGATGTGCAACAGCCTACACCTGTTTGGCCACCTTTGGAATCTACTGATCAAATGAGTCAATCATCAGATGAGTCAATCATCGGATGAGGAATGACAGATCTACACATCCAGGAGGAAGAAGAAGAATGGAGACCTACTTCAGCTCAGGAATCTGATGGATGATATTTTGGCTACTTCGGGCAATGGTACACACCTTACCAATTTGTTAGTCGGCTCGCTTTCAAGAACTAGAGGCTGAAGGAGGACTAAAGTGAGACGTCCCTAACACTTTTGCACCCTTTGGTGGTTTTTTGGTTTTTTATCTTTATGTATCTTTGTTTTATTTGGGATTTGTGTGAGTTGGAATTTCTTTTAGGCCCACTCATACAACCTTTCAGTATCTTTTTCGCTTCAATATATTAGCCCTTGGGCTTTTTCTATATATATATTTACAAAGGAAATCGATATTTGGCAGAGGCCCAAATATCGATTTCTCATGCGCTTATTAGCTCCATGATGAGATTCTGCGCCATGTGCCTAAAATTTCAAAGCCCCCACGCCACGATGGGATCAAACCCTTTGCCACGGTGGGATCATCCTAGTTCTCATGTATTTATAGACACACACACACACACACACACACCCACGCACGCACGCACGCACCCACGCACGCGAAAAGATGAATTTCACTCTTAATAAATCAATGTAAATGTTATTTGTGATGTGATTTCAAATTTACAATATTTTATAAACAAAAATATTTCTGGTGTTATATATATAATACATGAGAACTAGGTGATATGTATGTAAATCCCCTATAATCAAATGTAAGCGAGACAAAGTTGGATGTTCTTCGGACAGAGAACAACAAGGGGAGATCAGTCATCCCATGAAGATAAATAAAGCCTTTCAAAGTGTGGGGCTCAATTTCTATTTCAAAGATTACTATTCTTAAACAGTCTCCAATCTCCATGTCAGATTTTCATTAAGAAAATTAAAAATTCTGCAAAGAAATGTAGAAATTATGCTAGATTGAAGGAAGATAAGATTTAGCACCTTAAAGCTCAAAATAGTGTTAAAAAATGTTAAATATTTATAATAGAGAATATTATCTGATACTTACCTCTCCAACATCGTTCTGAAAGCGCTTAATTAGATCAATAGCAATGTTCTTAAATTCGTTTTCTCTGCCTTTCAGATTTACAATGACTTTAACCTGCAATATACATATATATATATATATATATATATAAACAAACATAATGATATTAAAATTAGAAGAAAAATCATCGTAAGTTTTCTATGGAGAAGTGCCAACCTTATCTCCGTCCTTCAAGAACTTCTGGGCAGCCTTCAGCCTTACAGAATAATCGTGGGAATCAATATTATACCTATTATTGGCAAAAAGAGGAATCTTGAGTCAATGTTGTAGAGATTTGGAAGATCAGTTTTGTGACCACATAATATTAATGTTTTCATTATGCAACTGTTTAATATATTAAGGAAGATTTACACAATAATCTTGAATCACATCAAAGGAACAAGCATAAACAAAAAGAGAAAAAAAAGGGATGCTCCGAGAGATGGAGTTAGACGTAAGAGTTTTCACATCCAGGAAATGTTCATAGGTTGAGGATTTTTCCAAAGATCCCTTATACAGTTAATTCACTATATTTATAGCGGTTCTTATTTACAAAATGACTTATTTGGGCCTATCCTGATCTACAACTCTTGGACATGAGTCCAAGTGATTATTGTTATTCATGTCTTTTCACGGCCACATGTTTTGAAAAGAGTTGACCATCAGTCGAATACTTGGGCAAAGCATCCGATCCAAAATAATGGTCTCCCCGTGTTTAGCTGCGGATGAAAATACATCCCTGAATGCCTATCCACGCTCATCTGGCTTCGGATGCTCGATCATGATTTTAGGCGATCGGTCTGTGTTCTCCGATCACGGGCTCCCAATCTTAATCTTGAATGCTTGGCCATTGTTATATGGCTACGAGCATTTGGTCCTAGTCTTGGGTGCCTGGTCCTCGTCTCAAGCGCTTGACCTTGATTATCCAAGTAGGAGTGTTTGGCCCTAGTCATGAGCGCATGGTCTTGATCTCAAGCACTTGACCTTGATTATTCGGCTGCAAGCATTTAGTCTCAGTTTATTCTGATGATAGAGATCATACTGTTGACCTCATTTTTGGTGAGATCTCTTCTTCTTCTTAGAGCCTAGGGTCTAGACTTACGAATTCTTGTTGGACTCTCTTAGAAGACTAGTTTGGGACCCGTACCAACAAAAAATTCGAGCCACTTCTTGACTCCTTGCAGTTTCATCTGGTTGGTTCTAAATCCTCAACGTTTGGTTGAGTCGATTAAAACCAACCTGACGAAACTCAAGTCGAGTACTCATATAACCCAAAACAATAGGAAACTCATTGTGACTTCCGCGCGCTATCACGATGCGCGAATACCACAATTCGCGCGCTCGTTGCACATAAATATCGAAATTCACGACATATGCATTTGTAGAAAGCTTCACGATTGACCAAGCTCAAATCAATTTCTAGAATAATCGATCACGGAATGAAATTTTAAGGAAATTTAAATTTGACGCGTTTTCGATCTTGTCGTTGCCGAGGTTATCCGGACGACAAAATTGACAGTTCCAGCGCGTCCGGAGTGTCGACGTTAGCTAGGAATGACATACACATCACTACAATTCCCGACAAGCACAAATAGCACAAAAACTGGGGTATTTTAAGTGTGCATATATATATATATATATATATATAT